TGCATGGTCTAGTTATTAAAAACACTTGTGACCATGTATTTTTCAGTTTGATGATTTCTCTAGCTCCACAGGCTTTGAAAATGCCCCAGGCAGGCATGCCCCCCCCCCCTTCAACTCATTCAGACCCATCTCGGTCCTCCCCGGGGCTCTAAGCCCTGCACCTTCTCCCCTTTTCCAGCATCAAAGCCTTTGGTGTCCAGCACTGGCAGGTGGGAAAGCAGGATGAGAGAATAGGCATCAAATTTGTAAGTTGTCAGTTGGCCTTTTAACAGAAGGCATTCTGATAGTATAGTGCCTAAGGCATTTGACTGCCAACCAGGAGGCTGGCTGTTCAAACCCACCAGCCACTCTGCAGAAGGAAGACTGGGTAATCCGTAAAGATTTACCACCTCAGAACCCCAAAGGGGGTCACTGTGAGTTGGAATGACTCCATGGCAGTGAGTTTATTATTATTATTATTATTTTTGGTACTGAAAAGAGTTCTGGTGGTATAGTGGTTAAAGCATTGGACTGCTGACCAAAATACCAGTGATTCAAATCCACCATCCACTGTGCTGGAGAAAGATGGGGCAGTCCGCATCCATAAAGATTTATAGCCTTGGAAACTCTATGGTGCCGTTCCACTCTATCCTACAGGGTCACTATGAGTTGGAATTGACTTGATGGCAGTGGGTACACCAAATAGTCCCTGGGTCGTGCAAACAGTTAATGGCGTTAGGCTGCTCCTGGAAAGCTTGGAGGTTTGAGTCCATCCAGGGGTGACTCAGAAGAATGGTGGGGCAACCTACTTTAGAAAGAGTGAAAACTTTATGGGGCACAGTTTTACTGACACACACGGAGTCACCATAGTTGGAGTTAACTCAATGGCAACTGGTTATGAGATCCTGAAGAATCCTTTTGCAAAATGACTATTTCCCAGAATCTGTTTCGTGGCCTCGAGTGGTTTAGCTTACACACAAGAGCTATGCATATAGAGGGGTGTGAGCTAGGCGTGAAGCTAGGCGTTTTATGGATCAGTTTAAGACAGCATTATCATCTCTATTGCAGAGATGAAGAAACTGAGGCTTTGCTCAGTGACTTGAAAAGTTACCCAACTCTAAAGCTGAACCACTGATTCTCAAGCCTCAGTAGGGGGGAGTCATACAGCAAGGAATTAACCAAAAATGCAAAATTTTGGTCCTGCCCTACACCAGCTGATTTACTTGGCCTAGGTCCAAGCCGAGGGATCTGCATTCCGTATGTACTCTGGTGGCATAGTGCCTAAGGCATTTGACTGCCCATCAGAAGACTGGAGGTTCAAACCCACCAGCCACTCCTGGGAAAGACGACTGGGCAATCTGCTTTCCTAGAGATACCGCCTCGGAAACCCAAGGAGGGGTATGAATCGGAATCGACAACACGGCAGTGAGTTTTTTTTTTTTTCCCGGTAAGTACTCTAAATCCAGTGAGTTCCGGAACCTCATTAGGTTCGACTTCCTTCTCAATCCAGGGATTTTGTGGCTGTGCCAGGGTCTCGGGTAGCAGAGGATGGGGCAAGGGCGGGGCCCAACCTAAAGAATTTGGGGATTTTGCAAATGACCTGAAGCCAGGGCGGAAGTGCAACACCGCAGGGCTCTGCCCAGCAGGTCCTGTGCTGCAGCCACCACCAGAAAGGGACCCAGGAGAGGGAATGCCTCAGAGGGCGCTGGTGACGAGGCCGGCCCGTCTGGGCCCCACGATCTCACCTGCCGCGAGGTGCACCCAGGGTCCAGATTGGACGAGGAATTAATCCGAAGCGCCTCCCACTTCCCGAGGACTCACTTTCCCCTTCACAAAACCCAACACTCCCAAGGCCAAAGTATTTGGCCCGCCTCTCCCAGCGAGGGGCCTGCTCAGGGCCGGCGGGGAGGGCCCGGAAGTCGGGCTGTGACGGGCCAGCAGCCCCGTCGCCTCCTGGTCGGAAGCGGCAGCGCAGGTGAAGGACGGCCGCTCTGAGCACAGCGCAGTGCAAGAGCTGGATGGAGGGCGGTCGGCAGCGCACGCCTCCCGACAGGCTGCCTGCCCGGATCGGGGCTTGTGGCTGTTCCCGCTACCGCGGGGCACCTACCGAGCACGTCTGGGCGGTTGCGGTTCGGCTCCAGTTCTCAGAACCAACCCCCCACCACACACCCACACCCACACACACACACACACTCCGGCCCATCTAGACGCGGCTCCCCGGCAGGCCACGGCCTGGAGGCCGGGTCAGCGAAGGGTTAACGAGGCTCGCCCTCTCCCTTCGCTCCCTCACCCTTGGAAAGTCCCCGAAATGACGTTTCAACCCGACAATTAAAAAAAGAGTTTAATTATAGAGACAGACGCTGGGAGCTGGAACAAACCCGGCCCCGCGGCGGGGCCGGTAAACAACTCGGGAGCGTGCGGGCCGGCCCGGCCGCCGCCCCGCAGAGCCTGCGCCCCCCGGGAGCCGGGCAGGGGAGGCGCTGCCGAGAACTGGGGAGGCGGAGGAAAGTCGAGGAATCGGCCTTCGCTTGGGAAAAAAGATGTTTTCGAGCCGCCCGGAGCGCCGAGGCCGCGTGATGGTGCCTCGGGCCGGTCCCGCAGCCGAGGTGGGAAAGTAGCGCCGCCCCGGGGCTGGTGGATAGACGGTGCCGGGCGCGGGGACAGGCCGCGGGCCGGGAATGCGGCCCCGTCAGCTCCTGGCCCCCCTCCCTCCCCCACTTCTCCAGCCCCGCCCCTCCCCCCAGCGAAGGTTTTTTTTTTTTTTTTTTGGTGGGAGGTAGTTTGGGGGGTGGGTAATCAGAAACCGAAATAGCTTCACATCAGGACTCAGACTAACCTCGTGGTATTAACGCGTCCCCTGCTCCGTGTCCTGAAATCTGGAACTCATTACCTCATCACCGAGAAACTGCACGAACTATCACTCCCCACCCCCCGCAACTTCTTGGAGCTGGAGAAACGAGAGCAAACGTCCCTTTAAGAAACCTACACTTGAATGATTGAAATTAAGGTGGATGGGAGTTATTTCCCTTTCTGGCGCTTGCCGGATTTCAAGAAGAGCTGAAAAATGGGAGCAGGAGGAGGGAAGCAACAGGCGGCTGGAAAGCAGCAGAAAAAAGCAACGGGGCGGCAGGCGGCTTTAAAACGGGGGCCATCAATTTAAGACAGAGGGGACAATAAAAGGAAACCGTAGCCTCGTGGCTGCCGCAGAAGTTTTGTGTTTCACAAAGTTGGAAAAGCACCGGTTCCTAAAGCAGTTGTGATTTGGAGAGTTTTCCCGGATTTGCTTGGAGGTTGACGAATAAATAAGAAATGCAGCAAAAATTCGTGTGCGTGTGTATCTGTGTGTGCGCGCGCGCAGGGGGTGGGGGTGGTGAGCGTGCGACTCGAGTGCTCTACTCGGCCCGCCCCGTCCTTTGCAAAGAAACGTGCTCATAATGGGGTGACCTAATTACATCGCAATGGAACCCGCTCCTAGCCACTCGGCGCACCGGGTTTCATAACAGACCTGGCGGCATCGAGTGTTGGGAAGAAACGTGCGAGGGCTGAGGCGGCGGTCTGACCGGCGTGGAAATAGGAAAGACACTGGGGCCCACGATTTCCGTCTCGGTTTTCCCTCCAGCACCTAGACCAAGGGGCGGAGAGCGGGTGGTGGTGGGGGAGACGCTCACAACTTACTTGGATGTTGAGGGGGGCACCCGAATATAACAGTAATAAACACATAATTTGTATTTTTTCCGAAGGCGTAATCTATAGGGGTCTGCTCGATTTCTCAAGTCTCCCCTCCCCCCATCCCGCCAAAATAGCGCAGCGTGACCAGCCATATGTGCCATCTCGTGGGGGCGGGGAAGAAGCAACAATCAGTTAAAAGTGTCGGGGCGCCCCTTCCCCTCCCCTCCTCTTCACCTTCCTTCTTACCGAAGTAACTTTCCTTGTTGAAGTGTCTTAAGGGTGTGTCTGTGGGGTGTGTGTGTGTGTCTGTGGGGTGTGTGTGGGTGTCTGTGTGTGTGGGGCGCGCGCGCGCCTGCGGTGGGATTTTCAGCGCGCGCGGAAAGTAGTGCGTCGCTTTTTTTTTTTTTTTTTTGCTGGGGGCGAGGAAGAGGAATTCATAAAGAGTTTGTGGTTCTCATTACTAAAAAGTTTAAAGATTGGATTCATGAGAGAAATTTCTCTCCCAGTCCCGGTATGTTGAAACAATCAGCCCCGACGGTGGTCTTTGCCGCGACCCCCTTTCCCACCGCCCACACTCGCAGAGCGCCGACTGCCAAAGCGAACGCGAGGGTAGACGTGTGCGGCGCGCCACCCTCGCCCCTGCCAGGCTGGAGCCTCCCCAGAATCGAACCCTAAAATTGAACGCCTCGTGCGTCCCCCCGAATTTCCAATCCCTTCGCCCTGCCCGGTTGGGTAATGGACGGCCGAGGCGGAAGAGAACTAGGGAAAAGTAACTTATCGGGCTACTGGGAGAAGTTTCACGGGAGATGTGTTCAAGATGGAAACCGCAGCCCGGGCATTAAGGACAGGCTTTAGCTCCCGCTTGCAAAAAGAGAAAGTCGAGCCCGCCTTCCTGCTCGACAAAAAACAACAACATAACAACAAGAACCCCGAAGGGGGTGGAAGGAGTGATGTCACAGAGCCGCGCTTGGAGGCTGACAAAAGGGGGGGTGCCCCCCCTCCCCGCACAGCTCCCGGCCGAAGAGAGGGGCGCCCAAAGCGCCGGAGTAGCGAAGCAAGTGGATTCAAAACTTTTCCTCTTTAAGAAAAAAAAGTTCTCGGCGGCTCCGAGTGTTTTTTTTTTTTTTTTTCCCTCCAGTTTGCCTTCTTTCCTCCTCCCCCCCTCCCCCTTCTTCCTTTTGAAAGTTTCGGTTTTTTTTCTTTCCCGAGTTTGACCGCATGGCTGATTCAACCTCAGTGTCAATCAACTTTTTTTTCCCTCCTCTTCCTCATTTAAATAAGTTTAAAGCTCCTCCTCCGGTCTACCAAATCTGAAACTTTATAAATTGGGCTTTGCGCGCCGCAGCCCGGGAGAGAGAGAGGCGAGGGGCGCTGGGAGCAGGCGAGTGGGACTCCTGAGCCGAGAGCCGGAGGCTGCGCCTTCCCCACCGGGACCTTCGCTGCACACCAGATCCTTGCCCTGCCCGGCCCGAGCTCCCAGGATGACCACCACCCTCGTGTCCGCCACCATCTTCGACTTGAGCGAAGTTTTATGCAAGGTAAAGTGGGGCCGAGCGCTGGCTTTTCCAAAAGTTTCTCGCTCCCTTGCTTTATAAAAGACCCCCACCCACACATACACACACTTACACACATGTGAGATCTTGGAAAGCAGGGATGAAAAGAGATAGTTATTTTTGCCGCCTTTATTTCGTTCACAGTTTGAAGGAATTTGGCCTACTCTTCCCCACCCTTTGAGTTTGAACAGTTCCTGGCGGGGATTAGATGTGAATCTTGAGACCGGAGTTTTGGGGGGCGAAGTTTGCGTGGCAGGGCTGCCTAAAGGACACGGGGATTGATTGGTCTGAGTTGGACGAAGTTTTCGGCCGTTCTTTCTTACAGAAAGAGCTGCTTAAGCTGCGTTTCGCTGGTTAGCTGGGTTTTCAGGTTTGTGCCGCCCGAGAGGTTGGAGATTTCCAGCCACATTGCCGGCCTGTTTGGGTAGGGGTTCTTCGGAGAAGTAAGTCTTGACGACGTCTCACTGGGAGATCGCCTCCTCTCATTTGAAGGGGATTGGAGATCTCCTAGAAGAAAAAGGCTGAGAGTTGTGATTCAAAAGGATGTTGCAAAACGAGTTTGCAGCGGGGCTTGTGTCCGCCCGAGCTCAACCCAGCTTCCTCCGCTGCTGGCCGATAGGACTCTAAACTTTGTGGGTGAAAGTAGGACTCGAGCTGATCCTCCGACCTGTGTTCTAAGCTCGTCAGTTAGAGTGGGGGGCGCTGGCCGGAGATCAAGGGTCCCCGTGGGGAAGGATGTAATGCGGGGCTTTCTTGTTGTATAGCTTGCCGGCCGGTGTTGTAAAAGCAGCTCTTAACCCCAGAATGTTCTAGGAGAGCAAAGTGTACTTAAGAGCCTATGGCAGTTAGTTTTTTCCCCAACCCCCTTGCCCCAAATTGAAAGGGTGAGTCTGTGAGGCTACTTCTAACTGCTCAAAGTGCTGTGCCTTCTTTCAAACACGTCGGGTCACGTTGCTCTCTCTTCCCAGCTTGCTGTCGGCGCAGCTGCCAGGGCCCCAGGGCTGCAGGGTTGGGGCGCAGGGACGCCGAGGAGCTGAAGAGCAACAACAAGACACTTTGAATTTTCAGTTTCTTTCCCTCCCTGCGCTTTTCCCAACCCCAGTGGCCCGCGTTGCCGCCCGAGCTCTCCGGCAGGTCTTCGTTCTTTTCCCGGCTCTCTTCCTCTTTGATCTGTTTCTCTTTCTCACATCCCCTCCCCCCTCAGGACTTTTTAAATGGACCTCATTGTTGCGAACCTGCTCTCGCTCTCGACTTCGTTCCCGTCCGGTCGGGTGGTTGCGTTACCGATTCGCAATCTCCCGCAGCTGATCCTAAGGGACCAACTTTATAATTTGCACAATGACACCCACATGGGCCGGGAGCCAGCTCCTGGGTCCTCTGTCTGCACCTTCTGCAAATCTTGGGTACAGTTTGGGCAGGTGGCCAGGGTCCCATTGGTGTCTCTGCCTCCCCGCCCCCCCATTCTGCTATTGACTGTGAGGTGGAAGGGGGGTTTTGGTGCTTTCCTTTTCCTTCCCATCTGCAGCTTTGCGTTAAAGATTAAACACTGGCGCTGTTATCCAAAGCCTGCTCTTGCAGCCAGAAGACTAATTGCAAAGGAATCTTCCCAGAGGAGGGGGGTGGCGTGGGCGGGGAATGGTGGAGGAGATCTTTGTGGAAGGCCCCCCTTCCGGGAGAATGGAGCAGCCAGCTTTATTTTAAGGAGTCACATCCCTTTCTTCTCAAACCCCTAGAGAAGGCCTTCATGGCTAGCTCCTGCAGCGCCCCCCCCCCCCAGTCAAAGGCAGTCTAGAAACCTGTTGCTAAAGGAAGGGAACACTTCTGAAGGAGGAAGTAGAGTCTTACTTAGGCCAGGCCATAGTGGATGGTGGGTGTCAAGTAAGCAGGAACTGATTAAAAGGGGATCTAGCCTCTGGGCTCCTGAAGGTCTATCTATTTTCATTAGGGGAGGGGATCTGGAGAGGTTTGAGTTGTACAGGGTGTTTTGATTTGAGGAGTCTATCTGGGGGTTAAGGAAGATAAATTATTATGAATAAAAGTGGCTGCTGGGGACAGGGTATGGGGGTACCTTTCAGAGGCCCTGGTGAGTAGGGTGCATGCATAAAATTATCA